TTGGAACTAACAGGGGTTTTATCCCAACAGTTGCTTTTCAGTGCGAGGAACAAGAGAAAACCCCGTCAAGGAGAACAGTTGAGCAGCGGGAACCACCTCACGAGGGTCTTTCCCTGACTTGTCCCTCGCTGCAGGACCCCGACTGGGTGTCCAAAGGACACTGGCTCCTGATTCCTGTCCCTTGTCCCTGCAGGGCGCAGCGGTGGCGCGGAGCATCCCGCACCGACGGCCCCGGCCCCCGGCTGAGATCTCGGAACAGGAGACCCAGAGAATCGCCAGGATCTTCTCTGCTCGGCTTTCCAAGAAGGAATGATGCTGGAGAGAGCCTGTCCAGAGCTGCTGCTTCCCGAGCCACGGCCTGATGCAGCGGGTCATGCAGGGAGGGGGACATGGAATCCATACTGGTACCCCGCTAATGCCTGGGAGAAGCTGAGAGCATGTGTCTTGCAAGGGCAGGTCCCCAGCAAGACTCCACCTCAGGCAACCACGAGCTGTCATCTGGTCTCCAGCTATTCCATTTTTGGGATATAATCATATGGAATTTCTCTGATTAACCTTTTATTTTCATGAGTAAATACATTGGGACAGCTCCTTCAGCGGTCCGTCACTGGCTGCTCCATGCATCCATCAAAGCTCCGTCAAGCATCCATCAAAGGATGACGAAAGGAGGGTGGAGAACTTTGATGCCCATCAACAAGCAGAGGCCTGTTGCTGTGGATGGGGAGGGAAGATGAGCCCCCTCCCCAGGGACCTTCCAGAGATACGTGCTGGGAAGCACAGTTTGGTGATCCCGGAGGAATGGATGTGCCTGGGATGGGGGAGGTGTGTGGAATCCCAGGCCAAGGATGCTGCAAAGTACCGGGACGTGTACAGAAGGGTTTCACTAGAAATGAGGAATTTTATATCCTAAATTATTTTTGTATGTTTTTAGGTCAGGAACCTTTTGGATAATGGATTCGGATCCAAACTGAGCCAAGTTCTTTCCTTACTGTTTGTGTGTCAATAAAATTCCCAAGGTTTCTTCTTGTCCAATGCGAAGTGTCCCGCAGGGTTCAGAGCCCGTCATTAGCAGGTGGATGGGATTCCTTCCTCCAGGAGCCTCCAGTGCCAGAGGGGAGAGGATGTCATGGAATGTTTCCCACAGGGGCACATGGAAAGGTCACTGCAGAGTAACTGAATATCAGTGTGAAATGAGTGGACCTCAAGGGAGAGGGAATGCTCCAGATGAGGCGCTGAGTTCAAACCACTCTTTGTATCCAGGATTTAAGGAACCGAAGTGTCGGCATCCATCCCTTTTCTTCCCACCTCTGAAGTTATCATGGAATGGGTTGTGTTGAAGGGAGCTTAAAGCTCCTCCAGCTCCACCCCCTGCCCCGGGCAGGGACACCTTCCACTAGAGCAGGTTGCTCCAAGCCCCTGTGTCCAACCTGCCCTTGAACACTGCCAGGGATGGGGCAGCCACAGCTTCTCTGGGCACCCTGTGCCAGCGCCTCAGCACCCTCACAGGGAAGAGCTTCTGCCTCAGAGCTCATCTCAGTCTCCCCTCTGGCAGGTTAAAGCTGATCCCAGTTTAAAGCTGATCCCAGAACACCTCGGGCTGGATGCCAGTTGGGTTGGGAACATGGTCACAGAGGAGGTGACAGTGTTGACTCCTGAGTTACAGCTCGGGCATGAGGTAAACAGCTTTTCCCTCTTGCATTTAGGTCAGTGGTGGAGCAGGGTCCAGCCAGACGGGACAACAAGGCCACGGACACCAGAGAGGGGTGACGAGCTTCCGCCTGGAGCCTGATCGCTGGAGCAAAGGTGGCTTCAGGGTGTTGAACCAGCTCCAAATCCCTTCTCCATCCTCACGCACAAGGCGAGCTCACACGTCCCTTTGGGCTTCCCGGGTGTAGGGCTCGGTAGCACAAAGGGTTAAACACACGGAGTTCTAAGGAACTGGAGGAAAAGGGACAGTCCTTGATCCCTCGCTCCCCCCTTGGCCTCCAACCTCATCCCTTCCCTTGGCACCTTCCTCTCAGCCACACTCAAAAGGTCATCCTGGTTTACATCATGGATTCATCTTGAAGCCTCTTTGGGCTCCTCCACATGAGCTTAAGGGACATGTTACACCAAGCCGAGGAAATCCAGCTCTCTGGAATGGATCCTGGCTCCGTGGTCCATGCCAGGGGCAGACGGGATCAACCTGACCCTGAACCAGTCGCTTCTAAAGCCTTGCCCAAGTGTTTGCTGCATCTCGTCCTTCCCAAAGCACATTTAGGGTTAAACCCCCAAATTATTCCCCATATGAGGTCCCAGCAGCCACCAAAGAGGCAGGATCATGTTGTGGGGTGTGCTCTGCTCCGATGGGTGCTGGGGGTCGGGGCAGGACCCGAGGGTTCATTCTCCTCAGCTCAAATGCCACCGAGGGAACTGGGTTTCGCTGTCACCCGATCCCGGTGGCTGGAATGTTGTCCCAGTGCTATATAAGGGGAAGCCAAGGAGCCAGGCAGTGCCCATGTGAGGAGCCGGGCCGCCAACGGTGAGGCCATGGGGGGGTTCACCCTGGGGGAGATGGTCCCACTGAGCACCCCTGTTGTGGCTGGGGGGGGTGGGACAGGGTGGGTGCATCCGGTGCCATCC